AAGAACATGTTTATTACACAAAGAAGGGATTTAGGAGGGAAGAATCTATTTTGTCATTGTTGTTGTTGTTGCTAAGTGCTGTTGAGTCAGTTTCAACCCATAGGGACTCTGTATAGGGTTTCTGAGGAGCAGCTGGTGAGCTTGAACCACCGGCTGCGGTTCAAACCGACTTTGCAGTTCAGTGCATTAACCCACAGCACCACACTAATTTATCCATTTGAATTGAAAAGTAGGTTAATATTTCCAAAATCTATTCATATACTCATCCAAATGTAAACGTAAACTGATTACCACCTCCACCACCAGAACCACGTGCTACATGTGTACAAGGTTAGCTCAAAGTGGCAGCTAATAATATTGCAGTCTGCTGTTGTTCAAGGATGACAGAGGATAAAAATAACACTTGTTTGGGCATAAATGTCAGTGTTTTTTGTTTTCTGTTTTGCTGATCTACATAAAAGAAAGGAGCACTGGTGACACAGTGGTTAAGTGATGGGCTGCTAACCAAAATGTTGGCAGTTCGAATCCACCAGTCTGTTTCTCTAAAGATCTACAGCCTTAGAAACTCTATATTCTGCCCTATAAGATCGTTATGAGTTGGAATTGACTAGATACCAAAGGGAGTGTGTGAATGAGCATTCTGTATCTCAAAAGCACTCTTAGAAACCAAAGAAGTTCAGTTTTGCAACATAGCAAGTATTCTCCAATTCATCAAAATGAATGTTGTAAACATGAAAATAAATTTAAGAAATGATAAAATAATCAGTCACTATTGGGTTTAATTCAATTTTCAGTTTTACCATATAATACTAGTGACTATAACCTTTGTGTGAATAGTTTTTCACAGTTGTAGAACAAAGCGTTTGGCATGGGTTAGTTATTAGCAATTTCAAGGCAGATACAGAAGCAGAAATAGTTAAATTTGTAATGTGTTTTATTGACAGAGACCATAGCCTGTGGGTTGTTGTTTTTTTTTCATGTAAAAGTTACATGGAATCTTTAGCTCCCAGCTTGACAGTCAGTTACAAAGAGCAGAAGGCACCTTAATGTGTCCTCCGGAGAGTTTTATCACTTCACTACAGTATCAGCAGTGGGCTCTATCATACTTTGACCTTTACACTTCAAGTCAAGAGCCTCCTGAGCAAGGTCAGTTTTCCCATCCATTGTGGACTTTCCAAATGGAAAACAATCTATTTTCCAGATGTAAAACAATCTATTTTCACAGAATGTGATCTGTGGGTTTCATTTATGTATGAATGAAATAGGTTGACTTCTACATTAGTGAGTTTGCAAGCAAACAAGGCCAGGAGTGGTTTTTCCTCAAAGGCTGAAAAGGAGACATTACTATTACAGCTACCATCCATCTTGAGGCTCAAGTTAGTATGGGAGAGAAGTTAACATACAGAAAAAGGTTTTAGTGATTCCCCCCAGCCCACTTTTAGCTAGTGCAACAAAACATTTCAGATAGTAATAATAGTGGTCAGGTAATAATGTCTTTTTGCCATAATCACACTTGGGTATATCTGTTTCCTTTATGCTAGTGAGATTTGGAATTGGAACTAAAAATCTTTTGGGGAAGAAGCTATTTTTGAAATTCAACTGGGGTGTTCTTGTCTTTGGGTTTCCCCTTGCATCAGTCTCTTAGCCTGGTACCACAGTCATGATAGTACTTATTCTTTTAAATGAAATGCAGCTAAGGACATGACTACTGGTGCTTATTAAAGATTCCTTGCTATTTTCACAAGAGTAGGGGCGTTAGACTCTTGTCTACTGGCCAAATTCTAAATCGGGAGATTACATTCTGCTTTCCTAAATTCCCCTAGCAGAAGCAGCCATCCATGGTATCCTACTTTGCTTCCTGTGCTAAACTGTTGTGTGATGTCATTAAATTGCTCTGGTTTTCTACTCTAGAAGTCATCACTTTTTAGTGGGGTGGAGAGTGAATAAGTACCTATTGTTTGGTATTATATTTGACCCAGTTTCAAGCAAATTAAATGGCAGGCTCCAACGGTTGAGAATAAAGTACAAAACACCCTAACAATCTGCCAGGGTTTTGTGTGTGTGTGTTTGGTGTACATGTGTGTTTAATAGACACAGGAAAAGCACACAGAGAAAATCTGTTTTCTCCTTTGCAACACAGGCAAAATATTAATGCTTATTTATTTATTTTTTACTCCACTAGTAGTTGACAGTGAATTATTATTTGCCTCAATAATAGGGTTAGTTCTAACAGTGATGATGAGGTATTTTGGATAAGATCACAGATCACAAACTGGCGAACCCATCTCTTTTGTCTTTATATGCATCTAGTCATCCCAGACTGAAGATGTTTCTAAAAATCTCTTTTGAAGGAGATTCTTCATCTTTCCCTGATCACATATTCCATTGTCTCTCAATCTCTCTATTAAAACTATGTTTTTATTTTTGTCCATTACTATCTTATGACCAGGAGCCTACACTACTAAGCTACAAGCTTAGTGGATTGTGAGCTAGGCTGCTAACCGTAAGGTCAACAATTCGAATCTACCACTCGCTCTACAGGAGAAATATGAGGCTTTCTGCTCCCGTAAAGATTTACAGCTATGAGTCGGAACTGATTCCAGGGCACACAAGCGTCACCATCTTATGTACGTCATTAACCTTCCTATTATATACTGGTATTGAGACTCAGTATAGCATAATAACATGATTTTTGTAGCAAGACATGCTTATAATCAAAGTGTGGCTCTGTCACTTTTCTAGGTGTGTGATGTTGAGCAAGTGACTTTTGAGGTTATATTTCCTCATCTGTAAACTTCAGAGGGTTGCTGTGAAGATCAAATGAGATAATACATCCCTTTGACGGAATATGGGATGCGGGCACCAAAAGAATATTCAGTGACAAAAGGAGGAAAATCCAGTTGCTGTTGATGCCAACTTGTAGTGACCCTATAGGGTAGAAATGCCTCATAGGGTTTCCAAGGCTATAGTGTATAGTAGAACAGACTGGCACATCTTTCTCTGTGGAGTGGTTGGCAGTTTTGAGCTACTGCCCTTTTGGTTAGCAGCCTAGCTATTAGCCACTGCACTACCAGAGCTCCGTTCAATAAAGAGTAACTATTTGATTAAGGAGCCCTGGTGGCAATGTAGAATAAGCACTGGACTGTTAACCTCAAGACTAGTAATTCAAACTCACCAGTTTCTCTGCAGAAGATGAGGTTTTCTGCTCCTGTAAATAAAGACTTACAGGTTTGGAAAACCTATGGAGGGTCATTATGAGTCAGAATTGACTCAATAGCTGTGACATTTGTATGATTCGGAGCCCTCCTGGAGTAATGGGTTAAATTTGGGGTTGCTACCCACAATGGTTGAAATACATCAGCCTCCCGGAGGGAGAAAGATTAGGCTGTCTGTTCCTTTAAAGATTTTCAGTCTTGGAAACCCTAGGGAGCAGTTCTACTCTGTCCTGTAGGGTTGTTATGACTCAGAATTGACGCCACAGCAGTGAGTGAGTGAGCGATTCGATTATATTGGCAGAACTGGCTTAATTCCTAAACTATTTGAGAATGGAAAGCATTCTGTAGTCCATGGGTTTCAATGGCAGCATAGTGCTGTGCATATAGTATGGAATTGAGGCACAGTATTTATTCACTGGAACATCTTTTTTCGCCCTGAGCAAAATGGTGTTGGTGGTGGTTGATGTTGCAGCAGCAGCTGCTGCTGGGAACTGTTCCATCGGTTTCGACTCATAGCGATCCTGTATAGGGTTTTGCAGAGCAGCTAGTGGGTTTGAACTGCCAACCTTTCAGTTGTCAGTCTAGTGCTTATCCTACAACATCACACCAGGTCTCATGCAAAACGAATAGCATGCAGCAATTTGCAAGATGCCACACATTTAGATCAAAGGCGATAAAAATCAAATAATCTTCCGATGTCTCCAAATATGCAGATATTTAACTATCTAGATGTTTTGGTATGATGCAGACACAATATAATTTATACTTTCCATTTCTATCAGGTTCATTTTTATGAATCTTAACATTTGATTAATATATCAATGTATTTAATTGCACGTTTGATACCTAGGATGGAGTTGACTTTGTTGTTGGTTTCCTTAGCCATCCAAGCATTTTTAATTGAGAAATTTAACAAATACATACTAAAATATATACCAGAAGAAAACTTTTCAACCTGAGACTAAGTACACTTTTTGCCTTATGTCAAAAGTGTGAGATTGGGGCTGATTACATGTATATTCCCAATTGCTTTGTTCACAAGTTAAAAAACACCCCCCAAGCCTCCCCAAGACCCAAATTTACTGTCCCAATCCTCAAAGCAATAATACAATTAACATCTTTGACCAGGTAAGCAGTTAGTTAGGCCTTGATATTTTCTGCTTTTAAACGTTTTCAGGAGGCTAGGTGGGACAGTTAGGTACCGAGTACAAGATGTAGAGATTCCATTGGGCTTGAATAGTTGTAGATAAAGGAAAAGCTGTTGCTTGTTCCTTGTTCAGTTAGTACAAAGTCCCAAAGCACTAGTGGGTGCTTCCTTTGGTTCTAAAGACACGGTAGTGTGGCTCTTGCTGGGACTCTTTCTCCACACTCGACAGGGGCCAGCTCAGGTGTGGAGCTCCCAGCACCTGTTTGTTCACACTCTGACAGTTCAGAAGCAAGCGAATTTGAGGCCCCGTGGCTCAGGTTCCTGGTAACTGGGCTCAAGTGTCACTAACACTATGACTAGCGCCGCTCCTTGAGCTGTGCTTTGAGACTTGGGCGCTGACTTAGGACTTTCTTCACCCCCCTAACCCCCCAACTCCCGTGTTTCCCTTTCCCTACTTATTCCTCCTGCGGTCCCACCGTCTCCCTTCTTTCCTAAGCCCCATATTCTCCTTCTGCTTTCCTCCTCACTGTCCTGCCCCCCATTCCCTGCTGGATTGGGGCTGCGGGTGAGAGGAGTCGCGAGCCAGGCGGGACAGGCGCTGACGAGCGTGCGCGCGTGCTGAGGCAGGGTCACGAGCGGGGGAGCCGCGTGGCTAGGCTACCCGACTCGGGAGCGAGGCACGCACGCGCCGGCGCGCGACCCGCCAGTCCCTTGCGCGTCCCCGACGGCCGGGCCGCAGCGTGCTCGCCCCCGCCGCCAGCTCGCCTCACTCATGGGTCGGATACGCTGCGTGGGGGAGACTGTTCCAAGATGGCGGCGGGTTGCTGCGGGGTGAAGAAGCAGAAACTGTCCAGTTCGCCCCCCTCAGGCTCGGGTGGCGGTGGTGGAGCCTCCTCCTCCTCCCACTGCAGCGGAGAGAGCCAGTGCCGAGCAGGAGAGCTGGGACTAGGAGGTGCCGGTCCGCGCCTCAACGGACTCGGGGGACTGACCGGAGGAGGTAACGGCAGCGGCTGTACCCTCTCTCCCCCTCAGGGCTGCGGCGGCGGCGGCGGCGGCGGCGGTGGGGGGATTTCCCTGTCGCCACCTCCGAACTGCGGAGTGGGGACTATACTTTCTACCCCGGCCGCCGCCACCTCTTCTTCGCCCTCCTCATCGTCCGCCGCCTCGTCTTCATCGCCCGGTTCCCGGAAGATGGTGGTGTCAGCGGAGATGTGCTGCTTTTGCTTCGATGTGCTCTACTGTCACCTGTACGGATACCAGCAACCCCGGACCCCCAGGTTCACCAACGAGCCCTAGTGAGTACCCTGTCGTCCGCCGCCCTCTCCCTCCCTAGCGCTCAGGATGGGGCTGAGAGTTGAGGCAAAGTGCGAGTCTCCTCCCCGCCCGCGGCTGCCCCTGCTGTTGCCGGTCCCCAGAGCCGCTCGCCCGAAGGGGCACCCCGCGCTTTCTGCCCTCTCAGGGAAGCACCCCGCACTTGAAGTGGGGTGCTGCAGTCAGGGATGGGGCCCACTCGCTCCCAAAGAGCTTTGCTTTCTCTTTGCGATAACTTAGAGGAGTTTGGACCCTTGCCTTCTCGCCTTTGCCAGCCCCCCGCCCCATCCCCCGCCTTGGTCTGGGCGATCAGGGTGGCTCTAAGTGTTGGCCTCCACGCTCTTTGGTCTCCCTGATCTGACCCCCCGTGGCAGCCCGAGCAGGGTGGTCGCCCGGCGCGTACCCTGCACATGGGGAGCTGCTATCCCATAGCAGGGTGAAAAATCCAAGTGTCCAACTTCTCTTCTGCTACTGATGGAACTTCGCTCCGGAGCTTGCAAAGAGCTGGCCCATCTTTGCCAATAGAGAAGGGGGAGCTTTTTGAAAACACATTTTCCCTTGCTACCTATTTTTATCCCAGTCTACCCAGTAAAATGTGTTTCTAGTGAAGCGCACCGCCGGCTCCGGTACGTTTGAAGAGTGAGATCTTTTTTTCTCTCTCTTTCCTTTTTTCCTTCCACGGTCTGGGCGATTCCATAGCTCATTCAGAGCGAGGGCTGCCCCCATAGGGGCTGTGACAGTTTGTACATTAAGTGTGCATTCTCTTTTGTGTCGACTTCACTTTGAAGAAATCTGTGTTCTGCTCCACGATTTGAGAACTCTTTTAACGTTGCTCCACGGTGAATGTGCAGGCAGGCATTGGTGTGGTTTCCTCTGGTTTTGTACTTTAAATTACTTGGCCCTGTAAGTTACGTGATGGAGATCGTTTTAAATAGCACGGTTTAAAGTGAAAAGCCAGGTTTATTCGAATCCCTGTCCACTTGGATGTGTGGGAGGTGGGGCTTTTTTTTTTTTTTTTTAATCTTTAAACTGACTTTTGGAATTAAATGCTAGACAGAATGTAAAGAGTAAGGAAGGGCAGGATGAGAAAGAGGGTGATTGCTTTCATTGTGAGGATTTAGCAGCCATAAGAAAAATAATAGAGAAAAATTGCAGGGAACCTTGTTCTGAAAAGCACCAACTCTTTTCCTAAACTAAGACAAGTGTCCCTGGTCCCCATTTCACAAGCAGCTGAATTGATGTTCTCTTTGAACTGCTTTTCATTTTTCGAGATTAGGGGATTGTATAAGTATAAACATGTCTGTCTAGTCTAAAAATATTACATTAATATGTAATATGGAAATTGCAATAAAGTGTCCTGGAAATTGTAAAGTTGCAGCGTTTGTTTTCTTTGGCTTTCATACTTTAAAATGCATTTAATTTTGGGTGACTTCTCTGTGGTTTGTGTATTTTCTTTCAGACTTGGTTTATCTTTGGTCATTTATTCATAAATGAGATACAGATGAATGGGCATGCAGGTTTTGCCAAACAAATTGAATATCTATAAATTTCACAGTGCTCACTCTAGGAACTGCAATAATAGAGTCCACATCTTTACTTAGCCAATTTATTTTGTAATTCTCAAGAAGTAAAATTCATTTTGAAATGACTGCCATGTAAAAATCTATGAAATGACCATTAGCTTGAGTCACTTATTCCTGCCTTTCCTGCCTTCTCTTTTACATGCCTATGATGCGTTAAAACCAGTTCTGGGATGATACTTTGCTTGGCTTTGCATAGTCATGGGACTGCGAAAACTCACTCCCATTTAGTTCTTGAGCTGTTACATGAGTTTGTCAGAGGCTGTTTTAGTATTCACGCTCCATTGCTCAAAGCATATGAGGACATACTTTCACGAGGAGCTATTTTCACACATTTTAAAGTGAGTTTGGGTTAACTGAACGAATATAGCAAGAATTTTTAAAGTAAAAGTGCGCTTGACCTCTTCATACAGAAAATGCCTTTGAAAATGTCATTTAACAGTGGTTATTTTGCACATATATTTAGGTAATGTTTCTTTTCTAATAAGTACCCCAGGCACATTAATTTGGTGTGTGGAGGGACTTTGGAATCCATATGTTAAGAGCACCATAGATTTCTTTTTAAATGTATTTTAGAACTGGAATTAAGCAGATAACTAAGGCACACTTTTTTGAAATTGTAGTAGAAGAATTATTGTCATTTAGCAGGCCTCGGATGTGTCATGTATTTTTTAAAGCAACTAATTTGGAGTAGACACTGACAGGACTAAGGGGGAGAATGAAAGTTTGCTTAAGTGGAAAGAGAACTGCAGTGGAAGCTTTATTTTCATTTATCTTAAAAGTCCTTTTTGAGGTGTGTTGTAGACATTTAATGAAAATGTCTTAAAAGCAGTGCTTAATTATGGAAGTGAAGTAACTAATCATTTGATGGTGTCTTAGTGATCCACCACACATTTTTTTCTGTGTTAAATTTTTCATAGTACTGTATATTTATTAGAGTAGTTTTTGCAGTTTGCCACAAGTCATACATAGACATAGTGTAGTTCGTAATGAGCAACAGTCTTTCAAGCCCCAGCTCGCTCCAGAAGATGTATTTTCAATAATTCTCACACATGTAAAGGCACACCATTTTCATACATTTCTACAGCCTGTCAGACTGTCTGCAGCTGGTGAAATGTGTCTTTTTCAGGTTTTGACGTTGTCGATTCATCAGTTACCCTTCCACTCTGAAAGGTTATTAGTCATATCAAGGGATCTATTTATTTCAGGTTTTGGAGGGGAGGTGGATATATAAGCTGGCTGTGGGGATCAAAATTCTTCACTGTTGTTGCTGTCCATTTGGAGCGCTTACTCTCTGGTAGCGTAGTGGTTATGATTCGGGCTGCGAACTTTAAGGCCAGCAGTTCGAAACTACCAGCCGCTCCGCGGGAGAAAGATGAGGCGTTCTGCTCCCTTAAAGATTTACAGCCTTGGAAACCCTGTACAGGGTCGCTATAGGTCGGAATCGACTCGACGGCACTTAACAACAGTAACAACAACCATACTACAAAGGGGTAGCAAAAGCAACAGTTATTGAGAAAGGTGGAAACTTATCTAATGGAAGACAGCTTTTGTGGCATTGTGGGTTAGGCATGGGGCTGCTAACTGCAAGGTTGGTGGTTCAAACCTACTGCCCGCTCACTAGGAGACTGATAAGGATGTCTACTTCCATAAAGATTTATAATCTTGGAAACCCTGTCTAGGGTCTGAGTTGAAATTGACTTGGTGGCAGTTGTTGTTGCTAAGTGCCGTTGAATCGGGATCTGACTCATAGCGACCCTGTACAGACTCCCTGTACAGGGTTTCTGAGGAGCAGCTGGTGGGTTGGAACTGCTGGCCTTTGCAGCCCAAACTGACTTTGCAGTTTACCGCATTAACCGGAAGCGCCACACCAGAAATCCGTTTGGTTAAAACTTAGGAGGAGGCCTTGATCTTAGTCATACTGACTCTTTTGCCCACTGATAAAAGTTCCACGGCACACTAAAAACATCACTTTCAGCATACTATTCAAAGCCATAGTTGTTGCATGTATATACCAGGGAGCCCAAGCAATCACTACCTGAAATGGATCACCTGTGCCAGGTGTTGAGCCAGTTAGATTCTATAGCAGTGGTTCTCAGCCTTGACTGCTCATTGGACTCACTGGAGGGTTATTAAAAATACAGATGTCTGGGTCTCACCACCAGGGATTCTTATCTCATTGGTCTTGGGTGGGGCCTGGGCATCAGGACTGTTAAAGCTCCCTCAGGTGATTTTAATGTGCAGCTGAGGTGGAGAACCACAGCTTATATTCTACCAGGCCTTCCTCCCGAAATTCTGATTAATTTGATATGTGGAGGGACTTTGGAATTCATATGTTATGAGCACCCTAAGAAATTTTGGTAACAGCCAGTATGAAATACGCTTGCCATGTGGTTTACCGAAAACATCATCACTGGGGAACTAGTCAGAAAGCTTTCAGAGGCCTCACTTCTGAGCTGCCTAATGACACCCTGCAGTTTAACAAGTTCTCCAGGTGATTCTTTTGCACATTAAAGTTTGAGAAGCACTGGTTCTCTAACTTTGTTGTTAAGTGCCTTAGAGTCAGTTCAGACTCATAGTGACCCTATAGGGTTTCCGAGGCTACAGATCTCTATGGGAGCAGAACGCCTAATTTTCCTCCCACGGAGTTCCTGGTGGACTTGAACTGTTGATCTCGCTGTTAGGAACCCAACACAGAACGCACTACTCCACAAGGACTCTCTTTTAATGCTTGTTAAAACACAAATGACTGGGTTCCATTCCCAGCGTTTCTGATTCTCTGGGCCTGGGTGGGGTGGGGTTGTGAATTTACATTTCTAACAAGTTCCCTGGTGATACTGAGCCTATAATTCCTAGGACCAAACATTCAGAAGCACTGGGTTAGAGAGCAATTGAGGATTTGAATCCGTACTTTAGCCACTGTAAGGAAACGGCAGTTTTCATTGTCAGATTCCAGTATAAAACTTTCTGGTTCTAATGCCAGTCATTTATTGTGTTCTTTCTCTAACTTAGCACCAGCGAGGTTGAGTGCTGCCAAGAGCGTAAACGTCTGAGGTTCTTGGGATGGTTTCACTCCAAGTACAGGGACAGAAGTGACTTTTGGCAACCCAACTGTATGATTTTAGGTCCTTTTTCAGAAATTGTGAAATGTGAGGGACATATTGTGGGTGTTAAAACAGAACAAAGATGGCATTGAGTTACATTGATTTTAGTAAAAGTAAAAGTAACCATACAAAAAAAAATGTTTTAATGGTTAAGTCACTAGATAACGTGTTGTGAGAAGATGTTGAAGGTTTTTACTTAGACTTATGCTGGTTGGATTGCATTTTAAGAATTTTCTTCCTTCACAAATAAATATATAAAAGGATCCTGCTAAGACCAGTCTCAGCACTTCAATGCTGTGT